TTGCTAAGGGCTACCAACATTCTGGACCCTTTGTTTTATTTAGGAGCACAGTAAACCAGAAATAGGTGAGTTACACTTACCTGCTCAGAATTTGCTAACAATTTTAGGATTTTTTTTTAATGGCACGCATTCAATAAAGACACAACTTCTCATCACATTTTTTCTGGTTTTTGTTGTTGAATTAAAACAGAAAGCCACTTTACAGTTGATATGTGTGACGAATGGATGAGTTTCTTATTTTCCAATTGCAAATGGGATTTTTTTGTTTTTGTTTTTTTGAGTTGCTCATATATGGCTCTTCTACATTTTTGTAGCCCAGGCATGAATTTACTCGGCTTTTGTCGAGAGGATCTGTTCTTGTAGACCAGCAAAACTAAAGAGTGGAATTGCTATGGAACCCCAAAATCCTTTTTTCTTGTTGTTCTCACCGCTTTTTCTGAGCGAATGGTAGTAATAGCCTTTGTTTGAACACCAGATACATACATTTCCTTAGCTTCGTGATTTCAGATATCGATCAGTGGAATAAAGTTATTGAACAACTAGGGACACCCTGTCCTGAATTTATGAAGAAGCTGCAACCAACAGTGAGGACGTATGTGGAGAATAGGCCTAAATATGCTGGCTATAGTTTTGAAAAACTCTTTCCAGATGTTCTCTTTCCAGTTGATTCTGACCACAATAAACTGAAAGGTAAGATACCATTAATTTTTTTCTCCTGCTAATGTTGACATGTTGCCTTGGACATAATAAAAGTAAAAGATGCATTGGATTGCAGGCTCCTATGGGTAGAATCTAGTTTTCTTTTAGCATTGGGATTGCATCTACCTCGTTAAACGTTCTCATTCTCCTATAATAACTAGCTCACCTAAAGATCTTTTATATGTTTTATATGACTACTCCCAGTTTTACCTTTGTTGTAGAAAAGCAAAAGTTTATAGATGAAGGCAAATGAGTTTCTGGTTTATAAAAAAGAAAATGCTACTTCCCTCACATTCACACATTATCTGATATTATTATCTGTCCTAAGAGGTCTGTAGGGGGCGTGCATAAGCGCACCAACGTGCCTACCGTCCCTGTCCTATTGTTTCCTCTTATTCTTTTATTTTTCTTATATGTACCCATTTCATGTATTCACAACTATGTATACGCTTATACTTATTATCTTGTAAACAATTGGCAAATCAAATAAATAAATAAATAAATAAATAAATAAATTATTTTACTATTACATGTCACTACAAATATGCCAGAAGTAAATATCTAAATAGAACTGGTGGCTTGTGACTCTTTGTTGAAGGAGAGTTCTCTGTTTTTTTTTTTTTTTTTGGTGTCACAAATGCCAAAAATGATCCTGGCCAATTGAAGCATTTTTCCCTTGGTCACCGACAACCGTGAGAACTGTAGGCAGAAATTGGCCAGTCAGACGGCTATTTCTGTTCCCCAAGACTTGTGAAGCCGTTTGTTACCTTCAGGAGCAGCTTTTCCATGTTGTGCTTCCTTGGGATTTCAGGTTTTTCTCCCGCTTCCCATTTGTGGAGCAACGTCTGCTCAGCCAAGAACTGGGCCTCCCGGTGTCTGGGCCTCCAAGGTCCCTTCCAACTCTGTTGCTCTATGAAACTCTACGACATGTCATCAAGCGGTCATTTCCAATTTGAAGACGAGCTGATAGGCTGCCTGAAAATAGCCACGGTGCCACAATCACGACCTCATATTAAATAGGAACTAGGCAGCGCAAATATTTATGGAATCTCACTTAGACACTTTGGACTTTGGGCTCAGCCACAGGGAGAAAGTAGCATTTTCTTTCCCTTCGCCTGTGAGTTAGATAAACTGATGCCACCCAGAGTCCGATGCTCTGGAAAGTTGCTGGCTACTTAGGGGCTTTTCCACGCTTCAGCTGGCCTAGGTGGTAACCAATAGGTGCTTCTTGGTCAGTGGAGGAGGTGTGAGTGGACAGGACAAGAGAGGACGGCCTTATTTTGCCTGAGGAGGCAGAGCCAACAACGTGCCATGCTAGAGAAGGGAGGACCCGTTCTCCTCCCTCTTCGTGCCAGGGGTGTGGAGAGGGCAGGGTCTCCCTCCGTTTCTCTGGAATGGCTGCCACAAATGCTGCAGCCCTATCCCGACCTTGAGTGCGCAGGCCATCCGGGGGGTCAGTGGGTCTTTCTTTCTTGAATGAACGAAGGGGGCAAGCTTCTGTCTCACTTCTTGGCTTCTTCTAAGTTTATAGTGATAAACTTCCTGGGGCCAACAGGGAGAGGGCTGAAGCGAACAAGCTGCTCTCCCCTTCAAGCAGTTCACCGGGTGGGTCTTCAAAAGGTTTCTTCCCTCAGGCCCAGAGGCCCGGCATGCCTCTTGCGGGCGGCCGGGCAGCCGTTGAGAGTGGAGGGCAGGCAGGCCCCCCCCAAATGGTTGCGGCTGGCCCCACGCAGCCAGCCAGGTGTGGTTCAGACTGGATTCGGGGTTTGTGTTCCCCTATTGAGTCCTGGGAGAGAGAGAGGTGGACGCTGGACGGGGCGAAAGGGACAGGGCTCTCTCTCTCTCCCCACCCGCTCTCCCTTCTCTCTCTCTCTCTCTCCTTTGTTTGGTGGTCCCACCAGTTCTCCCTTGCAAGCAAATGGTATTTCTTGCAGCTATTCCAATGTGCCACTGTTGCTACTTCGTCATGCTGTCGTTGCTTGTAATCAGTCTGTGCGAGATCTTCTTGCAGCAGCTAAGCAAGTAAGACCATGTTTTTTCAGCTCCTTTGCAGATGTGGCAAACCTGTCTTCTCGATTCTAGCCTGGTAGGCATTCCTTCTTTAAGGCTTGGCCTTGTGCAGCCAGAATTAGCCCCTCTGTCTCTTTCCTCAGCCTTCCTGCCCTTGGCCACTGCCAGGCCTCGCTGTTATCTGTTGGCCTGTTGTTTCTTTTTTTAATGCACTGGCCATTATTTCTCCCTATGCCTCTATTCCCGTCTTTTTTTGGTCTTTCTTGTAGGCCAGGTGGTCCTTCCAGCACTCAGCACTCGGGGAGATGCCACATGAACTGGCCTTCCTGTCACAGGCTTCTCTTACCAGAATCTTATTATTTTCCCATGTCTCATCCCACTGCCTCGTTTGTCCGGCTTCTCTTTTGTTGGCTGAATATACGTAGTTCCTTTAACTGCTCCACATAGGAGTTAATGCCCAGTTCCTCATCATCTTAGAACACAGAATAATAGGGTTGTTAAAAGGGACCTTGGAGGTCTTCTAGTCCAACCCCCTTGCCCATGGCAGAAGGCCCTAAATTGACCAGTCTCTTCTGGAAAACCTCCAGGATAGTTTTTTCCAGTTTGTTGATAAGGTTGTTTTTTTCAATTGCAAAACTGGACACAGGATTCCAAATGCAACCTGACCACAGTGGAGTGGGATAATTACCTCTATAGGATCCATTCTAAAATAGCCTTTTTTTAAGCAAAAAAATCTTCTTAGCAAAAATATATATATAAGGTTACAGTGACATGACATGTTTACAACTAATTCATACTTAAATCAAAATTAGAAAGGCTTGAAAAATAAAATGACTTTTTTATCAGTTGCCTATTCTAGTCTTACTGTTCAACTTTTAGAAGATTTTAAAAAATGGAACAAATACAAATACGTGTAAACCCGATTAGACTGGCGAGAGCTAATAGCTCTTTCTCCTTCTACTATGGCAGTTTACAAGTGTGTTAGTCCCCCAGTTTCTCTCTCCCAGGCAGGATTTTGGGAAAGCATTCCTTTTCCGGCTGCACAATTTTTGCTGTATTCATCCACCTCCTCTTTCACCTAAAGGTTTCCTTTTTGCCCAGGATCCAGTTCTTGGGATCCACTTCCTGGGACAGATCCATGAACCACAGCAGTTGCTTCCGCAGGCTTTGGGTCACCTTGGTCCTGTTTCGCTTCCTCCTCTGCCCAAGGCCTCCCCCCACCCCCCAGCCTTCCTGACTTCCTCTAGTGGGGAACCCAGCACGCACCTGGCTTCGCTCTTTCTCACCCTGGAATCCCAGCTCCAGGACATCACCCAGAAAGGAGAAAGAACCCAGCGTAAAAGATTGGACTCCTGGCAAGACAGACTGTGCAGAGTCTTGGCCGAGCTGCCCCCCCCCCCTTGTAGAATTGGAGATGTGATTTTATGGAGTCTTTTGATTGGCCACAGGCTTTGCCTGGCGCTGTTCAGGGGGGGAGAAAAGGAAAACCGTTTTGGAACCTCTTTCCTATGGGCTCCATTTCTCCACTGATCAAGAAGAGGAGGCTGGTGTCATGCTGAGCAGACCCACAAATCCCTCCCACTCTTTCAGGTGAGGGACATTTGGTTGCCCCAGTGTGTGTGTGTGTGTGTGTGTTTTAGAGAAGGTCTCTTGAGGCTAGCCAGCCATAAGTCCTCTCAGTGCTAGCTTTGGCCGTGAGGTCGTTTTGTGATAGTTTATTACAGCTGAAATCCAGTTCCTTACCGAGTCAGAGTTTGTTCCTCTGGGAGTGGAGCTGAGTTCTGTTGTTGTTGGCCCTGCTTTCTTGAGGAGGAGAGGAGTTAATTCTTTCCTGTCCTATCAGGTCCACCCTTTGCTGACCAGAAGGATTCCTCCTGGTAAGTTCAAATTTCAGTTTCCCCCTTTAATTTTACCAACTACAGGGTTCTGCTAGGAGATTCCAGAGCTGGTAGGCAAATACCGTGTGTCTTGTGTCTTTAATAATGTCATTTTCTTTATTATTCTACAGTCTCATTATCAGAAGTTTGTAACCAGTTTAAAACTGTAGAGCATGGGAACCATGTCCCCCCTTGATCTGGTCTTGGGGTTAGTCTTGTTCACACCTGGAACTTCAGTGCAGGTTCAGCTCTCCCTGATAGGTGTCCCCTGGTGGGAAATTCTGCCTGAACCTGTGGGGCAGCTTCCTTGGGTCCTGCTGGCCATATGAGCCCTGGCAGCAGCGGCGGCAGCAGCCAGAAAGAAGGAAGCGGCAGCTCCGGTGCCTCTGCTTCGCCTCCAGCTGAGAGGAAGCAAAGCGAGGGGCTACTTCTGATGCTGGGCACCCAGCAAGAGCAGAGTCTCTAGTTGCCAGGGGTGGCTGTTTTTTTGAACCAACTTTGAAGGGGAAGGGGATTCGTCTCCCCCGGACACCTCCAGGAGCCAAGGAAAGTTGGGCTCCTTTTGTTCTCTCTGGAGGCCGGCCGGCCCCTTCTCTATCTAAATCAGCCTCCCATGAGACATTGGACTGCAGCTCCTACTGACTGGTGTAATCGATTTGGGTTTCTTCCTATTTCACATATCACTTTCCAAAATATTTAAATAGATTCTGTATTAAACATTCCTCTTGCAGCCAGCCAGGCAAGAGATTTGTTGTCCAAAATGCTGGTGATCGATGCCTCAAAAAGAATTTCAGTGGACGAAGCTCTGCAGCACCCCTACATCAACGTCTGGTACGACCCTTCGGAAGCTGAAGCTGTAAGTCCGGCCCTTTGGACCCCGGGCTCTTCGCGCGCGGGGAAGGAGGCTCTGGGGTAGAGGGGGGGGGGGCAGGGGGCCAGGGAGGCCCAGAGCTACAGCTGGACGGAAACTTTGGAACTGGTCCTTTGCTGCATAACTGGAGGGCTGGGGGGGGGAGGGGCTGGGACTTATGTAAGAGAGCCAAATCTTCGCTTGCTAAAAATAATAATAATAATCGTGGTCTTTTTTAAAATGATTGCTGATTGAATGGCATAGAATTACGGTGTGGTTCTTGTCACTCGGGGAAGCTATTAAGTTAGGCTTACTGCATGTCTGTTCTTAAACTGGCTGTATCTGTTGTTTCGTTCATAGTGTTTCCTTTAGCTAAGTTGTTGTACCTTTCTTCTGTTCCCAGCCTCCTCCAAAGATACCAGACAAGCAATTGGATGAAAGAGAGCACACAGTAGAAGAATGGAAAGGTGAGATAGAAATTCTTTCTGTGTTCAGCATAAGCCGAGCTGGATGCCAGTAGAGCTGCAAGGAAGGAGGGCTAGGAGGAATGCTGAATTGTGGCCTTTTAAGCATCGATCAGCCAGGGACCTAGGCAGAGGGAGGTTGGGGGGGGTGGGGTGGGATACTGGATGGATGGAAGGTTTCATAGGACTACTGCAAGGTTGAGAAATGGGATGGAGGCGGCGGGGGAGTAGCGCAAAGGAGGTGGAAAACCTGCCACGCCTGTCTTATAACATCATTGCTTTCAGTGGAAGGGCTTTCCACTCTATGGCTGTCCACACCAGAAGGAATTCAGGGCTGGTTTCCCTGCTTTCTGGGTTGAGTCTCAGTTGGAAGAAAGACTGAATATAGTAAGTCAATCATAATAATTTTATTTATGACCAGAAGGCCAGAATAGCAGTAATAACCAGCCTCTTTTGAAAGCGACATGAAACCAGATCAGCTCCCTGTGCTGCCTAGTGTCCCAAGGACGGACAGGGGGGAGAAATGCTAGGGAAACGGGGAGAAATGAATGGAGCCAAACTCCAGGGGGGAAATGAGAAACCAGCCATTGTAAGTCATGTGTTTGTGGAACAGCCGGCCCCAGGGACATCGGCCGCATGGGCTTGGTGATGGGCCTTTCTCCCTGAATGGATAGACCTTCTGAAAGGAAACTCTGTAGCTACCCCTGTGGAATATCTTGGACTGAAACATTAATCTATACAACTGTAAAAAGCCTGCCAAAACATTATCATGTTCTACATGTGCCAGCAAGCTTTTGTTCCGTAGGTCCTATATTTCCTACCTTAGTCCCACTCATTCAAGGAGAACGGAACTGAAGCATGAAGCAATGGGCATTGCTTGGCTCGTCCAATACATTCCTTTGTGGCTTTCCTGTTTGATAAGTGGAGTTTTATCTTGCAGAAAGTGGCTCTCTTTTTTTCAGATGAAATTGCTTCTCCGGCTTGCTTGAAATACTTGACAGATAACACTACACCTGCTCATTTTACAGAACTGATTTACAAAGAAGTTGTGGAGCTGGAGGAGAGGACCAAGAACGGAGTCATACGTGGGCAGCCATCTCCTTTAGGTTAGTTGCTACGCATGTTATTTGGTTAATGCCACGGATAAGGGGAAAAGGCTGTTTTTATCCAGCCTTCGTTCACCTATTCAGCGTCTTGTCTGAATGTTGAGATTGTGCCTTTTTCTTATTCATATAGGTAGCTACGTAGCGTTTTGTATGTGTAAATACCCATATTTACACTGGGAATCAGAGTAATTATATGCAATGGGAAGGCACACCATTTCTCTGCAAGAAGGTTGGCAATGATATCTACCTAGGGGAGAAAAAGCAACTTGGTGCAGAGTGGATCGCCCTTACGCGGCTCTTTAGCTCTTTGTTTCAATTTCCATTTCCCAGGCTGGAAATGTTGTTTCCACTGAGTTGTCAACGAGATGGGAAGCGTCATGGTGTCTGATAATTTCTGCCCATCTGGTGCGATCTAATGGGATACCATTACGATTAGACAAGAGTTGAGGGTGGCCCAGAGACACCCAGCTGGCTTTGGGGCTCAGGCAGAACTAGAACGCGTGGCCTGCTGGTTTCTCCTCTGGCGCCTTTCAGCAGTACATCAATCAAGATCTCAAGGGATCCCTTTAGGACGGGGCTGGGCCAAACGATGCAGTCGCCCTCCCTGACCGTAGGAACAGGACGGCAGGTAACCAGGAACCGGCTAGAGGAAGAGAAACTTGCAGGAGGAGTGAGGGATCTCTCTGTAACTGAAGGGGTGCTTTGTTTCTCATAGCACAGGTGTAACAACAATCCATAGCCCTCGGCATCCATCTTCATCCCCATCAGTCTGTGACGCATCAACTTCACTGTCCACTGACCGAACTCGGACTTCTGACACCGACAGCAGCCTGGAAGCCTCAACGAGTCCCTTAAGTTGCTGTAGATGACAGCAAGTGGATGTAGGAGCGAAATGGCTAGCAACAAAAATCAGTGGTATTATTTTGGGGTATTTTTAAAAGTAATTGTGGGATTAATTTTCAGAGTGCTAATTTTAAAGTAAAATAGTAAATCACGATGCTATTCTGTAATTAATTGTACAGTATGGAACTTAATTTTTATTGTTTTAAAATTGCATGCTTTACTACTGTGATTTTTGACTTTATTTTTTCAGGATGCATTTATAAGATAGGTTTATTAAATGTAATATTGCTATTCAGTTTGCTTATCACAGCTTCTTTCAAGGTCTTTCAGATTGTTTTTTTAGAGAATCTGTATCAGCTGAGCCATTTTTCAATCTTTTATTTCCAATTGTTGTTACTCATGGGATATCTAATTTTAGGCTATAGAATAAGGCCTGGATAAGGTCTTTGAACAAAAACGCTTCTGAAGTGCTTATCTGGGCAACGCTACATAAGCTGGCTGTGTCCCAATGGACCCAGAGGGAGGATACCCCTGGGGAGGGGGGGGGGCACGTCAGTGGTTTCAGGGGGGAGGCGGGCTGAATGTTGCCATCAGCCTAGCTTGCCTCCCTTGCACAAGGCCTTTAAAATAATCCCCTGTTTATACCTGCAATGTGTTCACTTCTCCACTCATTGGTTGCATTCAGATTAGCACCAATTCTAGAAACAAACATGCTTCCACCCCCAACCCCCTTTTGACAGTTCTCCTCTCAACCTGTAGCTGATACTTCTGGATCTGTGGTAAAAGTATTATATATAAGTGTACTGTGTACGCTCCAGGGGGGGCTCAGCCTGTACAATACTTTGTGATGTTGGGTATTAGAACAACCCAACAAAAATCACAAAAGACAGGAGGACTGCACTAAGATCATGTTTTGGTTAATTTCCTTCCAAGAAAAAAAAATGTAGAAATGTTGAATATAATTAAAAATTGTTCTGCTTTCTGCTGAAATGAGTTTCAATACATATCTTCGAATATGTATTTCATTTTATTCCTCTGATTCAAATTCTAAGTTCATTGTGAATTTAAAATTGTGAATTTTAAAATTGCAGAGTTTTAAGAATTAAGCTTGTACTATCTGCATTGTGTAGATAGAAGTCATTTCTGTTTGTTTTTATTTATTAAATTTGTATGCTGCCAGTTTCACCGGACTCTTGGCAGGTTACAGTAACCGAAATGTCCATGGTTTGCATAATTCTACAAACAGTAAAACATACTCGGCAAATGTGACACTGAAAGAACTGACGACAGACAATAACATTAGAACAGACACAGTGCAGGATGGCAAACGGATCCCTCGCAGACCTAAAACCATCCCTGTTCCTCAGCCCAGTGACAGTTGCTCCGCATCCACAGATCTCAGTGACAAGAGAAGCAAAACTAAATTTGGCCTCCAAGGGCAGTGGGAATAATTCAGATTTTAATGTTTTCTGGAAAGCTGTCACTTTGGGGGCAGCATAAGTGAGACTGTACCCTTTGTTTGGGCCTCCTGGTGAAAACATTTTTTCCTGGCTTCACCCACCTTCCTTCCATTATTGTGGAAAGGTAGAATCTCCCGTTATATGGGGAGAAGAAGAAAAAAACTCAGTGAGAGAGAAATAGCAACAGCCTTAAATTTATAGACCGCTCCACAGTGCTTTGCAGCCCCCTCTAAGCGGTTTACAGCATCGGCCTATTGCCCCTCCCCCCCAACCACCTGGGTCCTCATTTGACCGACCTTGGAAGGATGGAGGGCAGCCTTGAGCCTGGTGAGATTCGAACTGCCAGTCTCCTGGCCGTCAGCAGAAATAGCCTGCAGAAGTTATTTTGCACCATAGCCCCAGTTTCTGAGCAAGCCTAGGCAATTATTTCCAAATCCTGTAAAATTTGTCAGCATGGGCAATTACATACAAGGATCAGAGAGCGCAAATTGATTCACATGCCTAATTTATTGCGCCTATTATATCATGCCGTCTGCTCAGTTTTGGGTCAGGGCTGTTTGACTGATCTGGATTAGCACTGGGGGGAAAAGAAGCAGTTCAGTTCCCTCTGAGAATAAGCCTAATGTACAGTCGAGGCAAAAGTCTGCAAGTGAAAGCGATCCTGTTAGTGGCCCAGGGTGGCAAAACTAATAGTTCTAGCAGGTCCTCCTATAAAAGGAGAGCATTAAAGGGCAACCGAAAAGTAATTTTAATTTTGCAGATCAGCCAAGCATTATTCTTCCACGCTGAGAAGGTTGATCCAGAGCCATCCCCTCTCTTTGCCGCCACTATGTATACTACTCTATGCTGGGTCTAGCAAAGCATTCGTAACGTTGTAAGTGAAATCCTTTCGCCTCTTCCTCACCAATCAATGATCTTCCATTTAGGCCAACAACTGTGATGCTACTACGTGAGTAAGGAGAGTGGTTACAGACCAGGGCAAAACTGCTTGGGTGGGAAGCCGAGGGCGGAGGGCACCTGCCTGTCTTTAGACTTGACTCCCTGCAGTGATATTCCCCAGAGTGGTGAAGAAATACTCCATCTCTTCTTGTAGGAAGTGGTTTCTCCTCTCTGCGTCTTTCCTTGCCCGCTCAGAGTTCCTCAACTTGATTTGCAGCACGGCCTGCTTCTTCTTCTCTTGGATGAGCTCTTCTTGTAGTCTTGTCACCAGCTTCCTCAGTTCTGTGCTTGTTCCTTCCATCCTTAAAGGGAAGAGAGAACGTGAGTTTATTACATAGCGGGTGCATTTTGAACAGCCGTGTCACCAGAATGCCTGTGAAAGTCCCGTCTCTGTAGTTACAGCCCACTTTGGTTTGAAGAGATGTTAAGATGTTTTTGGCCAGCCTTCATTTCCTTTAGCCACCCCCTCCGCCACTTCGCTTGCCTAGCGGCCCTGGGCTTGCATAGGCATCTCATCTTCCTGCCCTGATCATGGAGTCGCCCCCCCCCTCCCAACACACATCCCAGAGGATGTTTGTGAAAGTTAATGTCTTGGTCTCCCACAATTCAGGTCAGGATTACAAGACAACAGAAGGTGAGCTGTAAGGTTTCTCTGTAGGAATATGTGCCTTGTGTACCACGGTTCCTAGCCTCACTGCCCAGGCAGCTGCAGAGAGAGAGAGAGAGAGAGAGAGAGAGAGAGAGAGGCAGAGGAAGCCATTTTGCCTTTTATTCTCAGCTGTTGCGTAACCAACTCCCTTGGTTCCCTGCCTCTTTTTCCTTGCTTTTGGCCTGGCGTACCTCTTAAAAGCGGCCTCGTACCCAGACCTTTGTTTTCGTAGCTCCGCCTTCAGCTCTGCGATGAGATCTTGCAGGGCTTCTGAGCAGTGAACGGCATCTCTAGAAGCGACGGACAAATTGCGTCCCTCCCTGCTTCTGCCGCAGCCCGTTTCTGGCTCCCCACCGTTGCTCCCCAGAGAGACCTCGCTGTGGGGCAAGGGGCTGCCCAGAGGGCTCAAGGCCAGGCAGGCTCTCGTCGTCGTGGTGCATGTGGCACAGGGGGTGACAGAATCCACAGCTAGAGACAGGCTGCTGGAGGAAAGGGAGCCGCTGGGGCCGGCATTGCTACAGGCTTCCTTGGAGCGATGAAGAATGGGGACGTTGTCGTAGGCGGAGAGCCTTTGGCGCGAATCGGACCCTTTTCCTTTTCCTCCACGGTGGCCTTGAACAGCTGACCGTCCACCCAGCAGCCCATTCTCATGTAAGGATAAGCAGCAGCTTTCCAAGAAGGGGCTCCCTGGTGGGTGATAGAGCGATCTGGTTCCCGGCTGCCGCAAAGGGGAGCCTTTCCAAGAGGCCAGGCCTTGCTTCCTGTGGTTGGGGCTGCTGGGTGGTTGCTGGCCATTTCCTTTCTGGTTGCAGTCTTGCATGTGAGGCTGGGCTGCAGAAGGCCCAAGAGCTGGAAGCGAGCCAGCACGGCTGCAAAGGCTGTTTTCTGTCTGGCCACTCTGCAAGTTCCAATCTACCCAGCTAGGTGGACACTGGAGATCAGCGTCTGGCTGAACCGAGTCCTGAATCAGAGAAGGATCAAATATCTTCGCATGCTCGCTTATCAGAATAGCCATTAAGCCCTGAACCAGTGAAGTACCTGTGAGATGAATATTCAGACAGTCATGTTAGGGCAATTTGTTCTGCAGAGAAAGACATTTACTCAACATGAGGGCATATAAATATCAAGGGATCCCTATTTCCTTGAAAACCAAGGGAGTGAGTTAAATGTGGTCTGGAGGGCTGCCCAATTAAATGGATATTCAAGTGGGGTGTTGCAGGCATCGGTCCTGGAATCTATATCATCGTTTCCAATAATGATTTAGATGAGGAAGGCGGAGAGAATGCTAATCTGATTTGTAGATGACACAAAATTGAGTGGGAAATCTGATACCTTTCCCTTTTCCACGGGTGATTATCTTGAGTAGTGAGTTCAGCTCCAGATATCACAATTCAAGAGGGATTCGGCCAAAGAGAAACAGGTTCAGAGAAGGGTAGTGAAGATGATCAAGGAAGCAGAAACTGAGATTTACAAGGAGGAAACGAAGAGACAATTTAAGAAGAAAAGACTGAGCAGGGAAGAAGAGGGCAGCTTTCTTTTGAAGGACCTGAAAGGATATCACAGAGAAAAAACACAGATGGCTTTCCGAGGTGGGATATTGAATAAACGCAACGATGAGTGCCATGACATCATAAAGAATCTCAAATTCATAATGGCATATATTCCTATGGATATGAATTCACCAGATGTATAGTTTGGTATTCTAAGAGAGAGTCATACATTTTCTTCTAGGACGATGTGACAACTTGATTTAAATCAGAAAACAATGCCTCCCAATACACTCAAAGGTACAAAATAATAATTCTAGTGACATGATTTGCAAAATAGTATTTCTCCTGAATGAATTCAATTTTTCATATCAAATCAAACTGAAAATCTAAACTGAAGATCTGGATTAGAGTCAGTCCACGCAGCCTTAGTCTCTGCGCCCCTCAAAATCAATTCACCATTTTATGGAGTCAAATCACCCATTCATCAGCTGAACACACGTTTGCTGGGGTTTTGCCTTCGGTCCGTTTGTAAACTTCTAGTGTTCCACATTCAGCTCTTCTCGAGTACGGGCAACTGAATCTGCAGGCCCTGGGACTGCCCAGTGGTGTCCATTTGCAGCTGGGGCTGGACTGCTGCCCTTTGTGGGGGCGGGGGGATGGATGGACGGACGGACACAGGCTACCTACCTTCCATCTGAGCCACAGGGTCTTCCACCTGAGGCCGAAGAATGTTTGGTCCAAAAACCGTGGCAAGGTTCTGGATGCTCATCTTGTTATGGCTGGCGTAAGACTGAACTTCATCAAGAAACCTTGAAAGCCCCCCACCCCCACCCCAAAAAAATCAATGAAAACTTCATAAATAACCACCAGCAATTCTCAATGGCAAAGACCAAGATTTCCAACCTTAACTATTGCTCCACGCATGGCTAAGCTATCCCCACGGCTACCTAGTTTGGACAACAGGCTCAGCTCAGCCACTGGAGATGCCCTTTGGGGAGGGGGCTCATCAGTAATCAGGGTGGGATTTGGAAATGCTGCAGCCAGTCAGGGAAAGGTTTAAGGTTCCCTGATTTGCACAAATGAGCCCTGAACCAGAGTGGGACCCAGCACACATCCTCTGGGTTAAAATCTGTCTTCAACCACAACCAGTGGCCCTGCTTGCACAGGGTGTTACTCACAATCCTACACAGCTCCAGAAAACATACAGCTAACACTCTTATTTTCTGCCTCTGAGTCAGTCCTGACTTCTGCCTGGACAAGTCCATGCAATTTTCTTGACACCCTTTTCAGAAGTGCTTTGCCATCACCACCTCCTCCTCCTCCTTCCTGGGGCTGAGAGAGAGGAAAAGGCCCAAGGTCGCCCAGCTGGCCTTGTGCATAAAGTGGGGCTACAACTCCCAGTCTCCCGGTTTCTAGCCCGATGCCTTCACCACTGCACCAAACTGGCTCTCAACACTATCACTAGGTAGAATCTGCTCTTTGATATGGTTCCACTTCCCTGTTTGGACCCATACCTCAACAGAATTAAATATTCATTCTGGGTTGGGGTTAGAGTTTGGATTTATGTCAATTAGCTTTATCCCCAGTCAAAATAAAAAAGGAGTATTTTCTGATCAATTTTAAAACTGAAAACAATTTATAATACTAGGTTTTTTCCATAGAATCTTTGTTA